AACATGTAACCTTTAAAGTTGAGAAACGCTAATCAATCACTTTTCTTAGAAAGAGAAAAGCAGTGATTTCAAATCTGCTCTTACTTTAGTACATAATCGCCCTTAAAAGGATATACAGCCGTTGAAATAGTGCCAATGTAGCGAAAAAGTACCTTTCGGCGGTACTCGTGCAAAATCCTCAACGTAGCCGTTTTTTTAATACTGGACGTTTGGAGCAGTTCTAGTAAGCATTTGATAGAGCAAATCTTCTAGTTTATGATGGCGTATTTACTTTTGGGATTGGATGAGTTTGAACGGAGTTATGGCTTTAGGAAGTAAAAAAACTCGCACTCATCACAAATTTTCCTCGTTAATTTTGCAGAAATCCTCAACGTGGCCATTTTTTGAATACTGGACGTATAGAGCTGCTTTAGCAACGGTTTGGTAGAGAAAATCTTCTAGTTTTGTCTGCCATATTAACTTTTCGAATTTGACGAAAATGAAGCAAGTTGTTGCTTCGGAAAGTGTAAAAACTCGTGCTCATCTCGAATTTTCCTCGTTAATTGGCCTAAATTTGTTATTTCTTATAACTTTTTGTAATTTCTATACTGATTAGAAAAAGCTCTTCACAAAACTTCCAAATCTGCTTTCAGATTGAAAATTCGTCATATTTGAAGAAAGTTATAATCATTTGAATATTTGTTCAAATTTCAATAGTAAATAAGCTGCTCCACGGTCAACGCCAAAGTCCCCAGTCGAGGTCTACGGACAAACTTGAACTCAGCCCTTTGAACCGCCCGATTTGACGCTCTCGCCTGCGCTCTCTCGCTTAACCAGCGCTTTATGATTACTGTGATCTTATGTATTCAAACTTTGCCACAATATAATTGGCTCATCCACTACGGAGTCCCTCCTCCCTTCAAGGCTTAGTCCCTAGAGCTCACCCTTCTTGGTTGGGATGCCAGCCGCCAAGGACGCACCGTCTCTGATCGTTGTGCTCTGCCACGGCCTTTCTCGGCCAGAGAACACAGGGTAGAGTTCAAGAGGCACGTGGTAATCGCCGCGTCACCCGCACCGCGGGAAGCGCTTTACCGAAGGCCTCCTTGCCCTTGACGAAAGGGGGACGTGTAAATTGAGAACCATAATCTGTGTAGTACTAGAATTTGGTAAGTCTTGTGGAGGAAATAAATAAAGAACAGATGTTGTCATGGTATGCCATTTTTAGTGGACTAGTTTGTCGTTTTCTGGTCTGTTTCTCGTTTGCTCGTTTGGTAGGACTCATCAATAATGATTATTCTTTGACTTTTTCACTTTTGTACTTCTTAAACGAATTTTTTTGTGGGCGGTGGGGTAGCAGGGCTTTTTTATGAGCAGTTTTGGGGGAGAATTAAACAAGCTTTTCAACCTTTTCATAGTTCGGCTTTTGAAGAGGGTTGTTTCATGGACTTCGGCCTCCGGCGGAGGGTGGTGGGGGGGGGGGTCGTATTTCCAAATTTTCCTCAACGCCTCGCTTGACCTGCCTGTACCGCCCCCAACTCTAGCGCCGCAGAAAAAGCCAGATCTAGCTAGATCATCCACGGGAAGAGGCAAATCCTTCCGAGGAATTGCGTGTCGGTCCGCCCTCTAGGAGGTCCGCCCTCTAGGAGGTCCGCCTGTCTCACCACTAAATAACTTCCCCTTCTTCGACCTTCGTCCTCATCGTGAAATCCTCCTTTAATTCTCGCAGACTTCATTTCTGAACAGTCACTGTATTAGTACACGCAATGGAAATTAAATTCGACTTGATGGTAGGCAGTGGGAGAGTCGGCCGCCTATGTCGAAATTCAATGGAAGTGGGGGTAGTCTTTGAGATTTTCGGGATTAGTTTTGCGCTCTCTTCTCTTGTCTGTCGGAAATCGGAATAGGTCGGAGGCTCGACTTCATAATGGTCGCTCGTAAAATTCTCCAGTTGACGGGTGGTCCTGGTGAGGGGGGAGGCGGTCGGTGTTGCAGCCTGTGCTCCGTCACCGAGATAACGATCGTATTCACGAAAATTCTGAGCTGGTCGGAGGAATGTGGCAGATTAATAGGGCAGAAACTGGGTGATCCACTTGAAATTGAAAATCGGAACGCACGAGGTCGTCGTAGTGAAGAATGCTTCCTCGTGAAATGGCGGACAAGGTTGCGTCCTTCCCCCCCCCCTTCCGCCTGACGCACAACAGCGCTCGAACCCTTCTCTTCGACCACTTTATGGGTGATCTTTTCGTTGTCCTGTAGGAGCTGTGCTCTTGGCATCCGTGATCCGGAATTACGGTAGATGAAGCTGTCCGCCATTACGGCATTCCGCGGCGGCGAGTGTGAATAGGCGATCGATATGCGTGTCAGCAACGAGAACCACGCTGACCAGCCGGGACGGATGGCCGGCCGGCTGGGCGGTCGCCCACTCAATTTTCATGCGCCCACTACACTCCGCCTTTTCCTCCACAAATCGTCGTACAACAAGCTATTCATTTTTTGCTCTCTCTGCTTAAATGTATTATAGGTCCGATGGATTCCCATGTATTCTGATACTGATCTCTGCAAACTTATAATTCGTATTTTTCTGGAATTGATGTTTATATTAGAACGGCGCAATGTGGCTCGGGGGGGGGGCACTCTGAGAAAAGTCATCTAGGACTAAGCCTAAACAGCAGGGACGAACTCCGGAGAATACGAAAATTGCTTCCGTACACCGGAGTTCCTCTCCTCTTCAAAAGCTTAGTCCCTAAACGGAGCGTTTCCGTGATTTTGACGCGATGTTGCGAGGTGCCCCCCCCCCGAGCCACATTGCGCCCGTAGAAATTGTCGTTGCTCATGGAGATTTGGAGACACATGATATTCCTATGGGTTCGTAAAATTGGGCGCTGTGCTGACAGTTCTTTCCCTAATCACCTTACTGAGTACATTTATTTCACCTTCAAGAGGATCGCAGAGTGTGGTGGTTTTTTCTTGCCACTAAAATCTGGAAGAGGCCTGCAATCTTTCAGGATATGTAGATTCATTCCGTAATTACTACATTAATTTTGACAGTTAATATATGAGATATCGTGTACCGACGTTGTTGTTTCTATAAGCCTAAAAACAAATATGAAACGTTTGCCCAAATTCTTGTTATGCCAAAAGATGCAGGGCATAGTCAACCGTCCGTCCAGGCGATTCAAACGGTGTCGTGCGATTTTTGGGAGGGGGAGTCGTATTTGAGATTGACGAATCTCGAAAAAAACTTGAAAAGTGGGTCGTTTTTCGGGAGTTTGGAGGACCCATGGGTCGGCTTTGACATTCTTTTTCTCGATAAATTTGGTAAGGTTTTGAAAGGACCATCAACTTACTCAACCATCGTTTTGCAGGGGAAAATGGATGGAGTTTGAGTATGTCAACTGGTCTCAGAAGCAAGTACTGAGAAATAGCCATGGTGTGGGTAAGGGCCTCAAGATTTTTTGGAATCTAGCGAACGCCACGGTGCATCCTGTTCTTGGTGTCTGCTCCAGTAAAGGGTAAAGGAAGGGAAAAGTGGGGAGGGCCTCGAATTGGAATCGAGAAAAGTATCATCGGTGTTAGAAAATCATTGGGCCGCCGAGGAAGGAGCCTACAGTATTTTATTCTAGCTTCGCTCCGATTGTAGAACTGAAGTCGTCTTCATCTCCCTGGCGTTATCTTGTGAAGCTGCACAACCGTCCGCATGCGATCATGTAAGCGCCAGTCTGGAATAGTTTCACTTATCTGACTTTTCATACGAAAGGTAGGCTGGATAAATATGATCATTAAGGTAGCTCGATCTTATGTTTTACTGGTGTTCTTATTCATGTTCTTGTGGAAACAGCCTTTTGCAACAACATCAGGACTACTCAGATCTAATCTGATTAATCTTTTGGGTCTCATCCAGTAAGGAGGCATGTTGTGCGACAGTTCATATGCATGAAATAACCACTTTTTTGCAGGGGAGGGAAGCTCCGGGTGGGTGTAAAAGTTTAAGCGAAATGGTTCACGCACCCGGGGATTTCCTCCCCTTGCAAAAATTTCTGTAGCCGGCAAGAACTGTCGTATCGCATAATTTTTTTATGTTTCTTGTTTCTTCTCAAAGCTTTTATTGTCGTTTCACTATTCACTTTTTTGTTTTTTATTCGTTTTCTTGGTGATTTCCGTTTTATCAGTAAATTTTATAGTTCTTACTAGTGCTGTTAGCGTTACATGACAGCAAGTTTTTGACCGACCGACCTCAAACTTGACCCATTTAAAAAATAGTTCAGCAACTATTGGCTGGTTTTTCTTTATTCTTAGGCAGCTTTCATAGTTCGAGGCTTGGGAGATTAGGATATTAGGCGTTGCGATATTCTAATTGCGCTGAAAAGATTAGATATGTATCGATTGGAGTTATGTATCTAATTTTGTCAGCGCTCTATCTTGAATCTACTATTATACTATCTTGATCTCCTACTCTTCTACTGCTATTTTACTGTGGCAATCTACTATTCTCCGGCGATTTCAGTCGCTATGCCCAATCTTGTCTGCGCACTATCTTAAGCTCCCTATCAACATCCTTTTCATTGTCGCTCACTATGCCAATCTTCGGGGTTTCGAACTACGAACGCGGTCCTGGGTAGGTTCAGAGTTTGCGATCCTGCGCAAATCGCGTGACGGATCACAGAAATCACAAGTGCCCGATCAATACTGCAAGGTGCTCTCCAATCCTGCCACCATTTCTGCTTGATGTGATGGTTGAATGACGACTATTCATGGTTCTACTTGTTTCATACTCACCATGAGACGTGCTATCAAAGCTCTTTTCTTCGCATCTGAACTTTCCATTATTTCTATGTGTTGCGTTAAGCATTGTTCATTCGCAGCATTTTCGGATTTTGTTTATCTACAACCCATAAAAACAAAAAGTTTACTACTATATTACAGTGATAATAAGGCACTGGAGGCAACTTCACTCACTAGTCGTGCGTCAGTAGCGTTAACGAACTCTGAGCTTTTGCCAGAGTTCTGCTTGTGTACCGCCGATGACAGTGGTAGCCAGTTATGGCATGGTGCTCTGCGGAAATTCCTCGGACGACTTGAATCAGCGTTATCGAGGACGAATCGAAAAGTGATGCTTTTCACTCTTTCTTGTTTGCGTAGTTGATTAATATTGGTCATCCATTAATGCCCTTTTTAGAGTCAAGTTTGGTGTTCCAATTAATGAAGCATTCGCCCATGACATTCCAGCAACGTTATTGGTACGTTTTGAAATGTTATTCATTTTCTCATCGATTTTTTTAATCTGTTTTCTTACCAATATTTAATTTGTGTTCAGGTGCTACTGCTAAAAGTAAACAAGGAAGGTCCACAGAAAAAGGACATCTGGCGCGCGCCTGGAAATCAAGCCCAGGTAAGCGTGATTTCCGTTTTGGGGAGTATTTGAGCCTTGTCCAATTATTCTACTTAATATTACTATCTAATTACCATTCATCTTTTTATTTGGTATTTTTAGCAAGGGTCATTGAATTCAACAGAGAGCAGCCTCTTAAGTTCGATAAGTGAAACGTTTTTCACGTTGATATTCATTATTGTCGTTTTTTTCACCTTTTCATGTCCATTCGGGAACAGTGTTCTGGCAGTTGATGACTTTTCGAGCGGTAGCTTAGATGAGTAATGTAGAAAAAAAATTTAGATGATGAATTCGGTTCCTGATTAAACCATTCCAAAACAACATGTTGTGAAAACGGTAGTGATTTACGTAACATGAAGAATTTCGGCTGCAACCAAGAGAACTTTTGGATTGTGGTCTAGTCATTCGGTTTTTTTTACTTTACCACCTTTCTGGCAGTTTGGCGATTTGCTGTGCCTTCATGCGTTTACTCTGGTTCCTTTATGTTTTTTTTTTACTTATGACGCTACTCACTTGAAACCGAATCTCTGTAAGTATGCAAATAAAAGTTCTACTCAGTCACTGAATTGGTGTTAAGGATATAGGATACACCTTGTGAGATACATCTTATACTTATTTCGTCTAGCGATGCAGTTTTGGGAGAATCTCATTGGCAAAATTACAGACTTCTAATCTTGTCTGAATATCGACAAATGTTGCGAGCGAGCTTTAGGCAGACCATGATTGAAGCACGGGTGATGACGAAGAAAATCAGCGATCTTCCTGCATAACTGGTTTAAGTTCGCAAAGCTATCGAAATCATGCAGCAATGGTCGCTTTGTGACATAGAAATTTGAGTGTACATCAGCATCAGTTATAAGTGAAAGATCTCCAGCATAAGCTGCGCTGAACATATCTTATCATGTGTTACTTTCAGAAGTTTTTGTCCAAGCTACCTGGTGGTATCTTTGGGGTTGAAAATGAGCAAATCCTTTTCAATAGCGCCTTGCAGAACACTGATTTGGATAAGCAGCGGCAGGTGTTTTACAGGTTTGTAAGCATACTTCTAAAATTTTACTTTTCGGTTTTTCGGTTTACTAATCCTCATCTTCGCGTATCTGATTCCATATTCCGATTCATTTGATAAAACATTCGGTGTTTCGCTTCTCGTTTTCGCTCTGAAAATGTCCAGTCAGAGAAGTTGATTAGAAGGCTGATGGAATACACTAACCGCTAACAAAACTGGGGAGGTATGGCAATCAACTTTTCATGATGCTATGGTTGTGGTAAAACTAACAACTGTACATACGAGAACCCACCGAGCACCCTTGGCCAAAAATGTTTTGAGTCTTGTACTAAAATGAGGCCAAACCTCGAGATCTACATTAGCGACTACAAATCCTAGTCATTGCTTTTGCATTGAAATTTAATTCATTTTTTTTTGTTCAATGTGTTGATTCTTTCTGAGACGTTTGTATTGGCTGGTAGTCTTGCTATGCATCCGGAGTAACTTCTAAATATATCTGCGATTTAGAAATGAAGCGTGAAGTGAGCCAAATAGTCCGGTGAATTCCGTAAACTTTGGCTTTTCTGGCGGTTGTTCTTTTTATGACACATACCGCGGCGATTTATGAACTGTTCCAGAAAACAGATTGAATCGTCTGTCTTTAGCTTCATACCCGCCATCCCATTCGCTTTTTTGTCGTGTTAGGCCTTGTGCACCGATTTACGTCTAGTCGAAATGGAAATTAGCATATAATCTCACTCTCATTTGCTTCCCCTACAATTGTTGTTAAAAAAGCTCGCTCTGTAATACATTACGTTCTTTCCGAGATGGTGGACAGTGGATGTAGGGGATCTTTCACAGCTATTGCCAGGATGGAGGAATGACTTTGGGCAATCAACCGGACCTCATGGGGCACGAACTTTAGTGTTTTTGTAGCAGTTATGTAGCCTGACGATCGGTAATTTTGCCGATAACTCATTATTCAAGAGAGCAATGATGGCATGAATACTTGGCATTGAGGGTTTTGTTTTCAATGGCCAGAAGAGCATACTCACTTGCCTATTTTCTCATTTTCCAGGGATTTGTATAAACTGAATTTGTTTTATTAGTTCCTTTTTATTTTATTTTCCGAAGCATTTTGTGTTATGAGCTGCTGGTGTTGTCATAATTCCCAGTCTGATTGTCATGTGATGGAGTTACAAGCAAGTTGACGGTCTCTTATAGCATTCGAGTTTTGATTTCGTGGACATGGGTAATTCCCTTGCTGTGCTCCTTCCTTGAGCTTTCCAATGATACACCAAATGATCATCACCAGTTGCTAACAGTCACATTTTTGACGCGATATGACCGTTGACTGCTAAAATGGCAGTGGGTCGTTATGCGGCTATCACCGTTTCGATTTTGTTCTGTTTTTATTTGTTCAAAGTTTTCCGAATCAGCTTTTACTGTGAATGTCATCGCAATATTGCGGGGTTAACGGCAAGGCAAATCTTATACATGTAATTTGAAAGCTGCTTCCTTCAACAAGCAACATGGCATTTCAGGATTTTCTGTTCTCTCCCTGTGCCTTCGCAACATCTTCTTGTGCTTTTGTTTGGCACATTTCGAACGGTTGCTGATTCCTCTGAAACCTTCGGGACGAAGATGAATCCTGATGCGATTGCTATATCTGTGGCACCTTCTCTTTTCCACTCGTGTATCCATGATGGAAGACAGGTATGTAGTAATGTAATAACTTCGTTCTGTTTACTTGTGCAAGACGAGCTCACCGGACTCTGCTCTATTATTATGATGCGAAGTGAAAAGCGGCGTTTTCTGTTGGTCCGTGCACTTCAGATTTTCAAGATCATAAGATTAGGCGATAATAAAAAAATATTTGATGCTTGAGAGATTAGGAGATACCGATGGAAAGTTCAGACACACATCGATTGTTTTGACTGTAGATCCGGAGGTCACTAATCTAATAAACAATGGGCTAGAAGATCAGGGGATTGGAAGGTTGAACTGAAGAGGTTAGATACATTGTCACTCATTTGAATGGAGACTTCTACACTCCTATTTTCCGTTCTCCCTATCAATGCACATCAGTTTTTCGTTCATAATATCCTATCTCTTATCACATAATCTTCTGATCTTCCAAGTTTTGGGCCATTAATGCGGCTTCAAGGGGTTGGGAACAGGGTCAACCGCCGCGTTCGCGCTTCTCCTGAAATAATGCAACCCCAACACCCTCAGTCTTGGTAGGCTCCCCCACATACGATCCTCCTCAAAACTTGCTATCAAAACCTTTTAGAAACCTCTTTTCACGACCCTCGATTGCCTTCACCCAGAGAGAGTTGGATGCTCAACGCCAAGTACGATCCTCTCGTTCCAATAGTGCGAACGGACAGTTGACCTTTATGGGGAACATTCGGTGCAGGGCACTTAATGCATTCAAAATCACAAAAAATATCATTTCTTTGATCAATAAAGGGGAGAAGGACTGGGTGCGAGAAAAGAATGGTAGTGCATCATCTGCTAATATGAAAATCGACGTCAGGTTTCCAAATTGAGCTGCATAATAAGAGGCTGTATTGCTTTTGCGCCTAGCTCATAAGTACGAAGGGAATACCATGCACATTTTCTGAAGATGTGCTTCTAACACTAAAACAAGCACTATGTCATCAAACAAGCATTGCATGCTGCTTTACTGTTTCACATGGGTGAAATTAATGTATCATTTTGTTGCGTAACTGTTCTCTCAACAGCGAGACTCTAACAGTTGGGAACGTTTAGGAGTACATAACTTGTTTAACGGTCTCTCAGAGCTGTACACGGTCAGTACACCTACAGGCCTACTGTTTCTATTTTAGGTGAAATTTGAAGATGTGCAAAGGTTCAAATTGGCATCGGAAGTTGTCAAGACCATTATTAATTCCTTTGGCCATACAAACCTTTTCCCGCGAGAGTGTTACGAATTCTATGCTCGGATCACAGGTAGAACATTGCGTGTCGACGAAAATTGGCTCTTCACATTCCAGTACCCTTCAAGTGGGTTTTTTGTATTTCCTTCATTTTTCATTGGAACCATTTCGGATATTGTTGGGTTTATGAAGGGACTATCTATATATTTAGAATAGACGCTTCGTAGGGAGATCAGTTGCTTTTTCTGCCCATAAATATGCTTATAGCGCTGCAATATTGATTGTAAGCGTGGTTTTAGCAAGCATCAGTTTTGCTGTACAATCTCCTTTACTCATCGTTGTTCTTATATCTCAACGTACATAATCTGCTCCGCATAATGTTATAGAAAAAGTAGGAGTACACTGGAACTAGCCATGCTAGAATCCAAAGCGTAGTTGAGTCCAGAAATACGTCTATAATTTAGTAGGCGATGTATCTAGCACTAGACAGACGTTGGCTTCAAGTGTTCAAGTTTGATGTTCGCTTCTGTTTCTGTTTTAATCTTCTGGTCTGCTTCAATACCCTTCACGTCACCTATGTACTGTATTGAATTTCTCTCTATGGTGTCGCTGATTAGCATCATGCAGGATAGCAAACTCAACACAGTGTTGTCTCAGATAGATTGCGCTTCAGCTTTCAGGTTAGACTTTGCGATTGTGCAATGGCGAGAGCAATAGCGAAGCGCTATACCGACCAGCAACGACGTGCCCCACTCAGCCATTGCAAAGTGCAGTCGCCGAGAGGCGTATCGTTATGACTCGTATAGTTTGTATCGGGCGTCCCTCCCCGCACAGGAATCGCGGCGGTTGTTCTTTGCAGCGCTTTCGCGGTTGCACAATCGCTGAGTTTGACATCCACCTTACTGCGGCCATACCACTGGTCTTTTGCTTGCTCCACATCTGATTTCCTTTTGCCATTCTGCATGCTATTGCATTCTCCGTTGTGGCTACAAAAGTACTTTTACTTTGTACGTGTTGAAGCCTTGCGCGGATAACCTGCAACGTGATGACTGTTTTCCAGAATTCTGCACATGGTGAGAAGTTTTCTGTGGGAAAGCGCTAGCGTGATCCTCATTGGTATATGCGAAAACTTGAGCTTCTTTTAGACTGCTTGTGCATGCATACTAACAATGTGGTGTGTTGTTTTGTTCACATTCTTTGGTTTTTCTTGTTTTGCATGAAACCAAGTGAATAATAATGTGGGCCTCGATCGGGATGGTCGGTCATATATGGTGCGTTTCAGTCGAAATGATGTCATCTTATCGATGATGAGATCATACACCTGTCCTCTCACATCTTTCACCAAGCAATTCTGTACATATCAAGATGACTGCACATGCTTCGTCGCCCTCACACAGCCTTGTAAGCATGTAAGTTTCTGTTGTCCCTACATCGTAGTGTGCTGGAGCATGAGTCGTTGTTAAACATGTCACGTTTCACACATTCACAAGAACTGTGGTAGTAATATTTTAGATCTGCTTTTGTGAAATATCGTAAACTATATCATTTTCAAAGTAATAATTTTGTGGGGATAATCCCAAGCTCTGGTAGATGATGAGAGAACAGAAGTGTGAACGAAGCAACAACTGCAGCGATTCATCTTCACCTCAGATCTTCCGTTTATTCTTCATTTTCTAGGCGAAAAGTTTTGCAGTGTGCTAAATGCGATGTCGTGTGTGGTGGTTTGGGTTATCCTTGTTCTACTTGATATAGATGGTTTTGTTTTGTTCTAACGCGTGCTTGTGTGTGGTTTAGGTGTCGCTTCATCGGCCGCCTTCAGTGCAATGGCTGCGAAGTGTGCAGGTGCTTACTCACTAGCTGCACTTCATTTGGAAGGGGATGCGTTCGAGCCGGTTGTTGTGAGACGTCTCGCTGCTACTGGGGACGCGGTGATCCATGGAGTGCACAGGACCTGCTCACTGAATCGCCATCCACTGGCGCACACAGCGGATCATCCAAAACGGCCGCAAATCGCAAGTCTTGGTGTCAATGATGTAGTTGACCTGAAACAATCTCTTAGTTGTGACTTTTGAAGCGTGTCACAAATTTACCCTTCTTCGCGACAACAAATTTTCTTTTTCTGCGTTTAATGATGAGCAGTCTAATAATTTTCTTCCTTCTTCTTTTTCTTGGTTTCACTTGGCAGGTTACGCCTTGAGAGCTTGTTTCTACGAGCAATGTTGTGGTTTTGTTGGGATTGCTTCTTTCAATCGCAATTTGTTTATGCATGTGGAATGCCTTTTAAGCATCAAACTTTGCTGGCGATCTACCCGACATCTTCAGGTTCGCTTGTAGTCTTGGCTAGCTAATCTTATCTTCTCCGGTTGAAATAAGCATTCACAAAAATGCCTAATTGTCCTGCTAGTGCTACTGGTACTAGATGTCACGTTCTCCTTCTCTGAAAGAGTGCTGTGACCTACTCAGTGTCTTTCAAGTCAACATTTAGATACGACTATCTGGTAAATCTGCTCATCACTTCACTGGCCAATATAGTTTTTTGATCAGTTGAGTTTGCGCGAGTTGCGGGTGCGCGCATGTCTCCTGAGACACGTACACATACAGCATAACAATTTTGATATGCGGGTGCTTGATCCATTAAACTGTGGCAACTTTGCTTTTGCTGCTAAGCTGACCACCGAAGCATTCCTTTATGTTCAATATGCAACCAGTGTTCACTGTAGGGCAGATTCTCGCTCTTGGTTTACGTGCTGAACTTCATGTTGCACGCTGATGAATTCCACCATCGCTCTTGTTAGAGTATCTCATGCTGCATCTTTATTTGATCTCCTGTTCGAAGCTTGCGCTACTTATCCATAAAGTTAGCAACGCTTCGATGCTCATGCGATCACTTTCTCGGTCACTGATTTCGGAATGGCTATTGTTTCAGCATTTTGCGAAAGTTTAGTTCTCTCATTTAAGCAACTCACATAATGAGTTTCGGGTTTGCAGCTTATTCTGCTCTTTTCATTTGGATGATGAGATATTTTTCATATTGAGAACTCAGTTAGGTATCGTGCCTGTATGTATATCTTTCGTAGCGTATCTGTTTGTATAGAGCTAGTCTATCAACTGTTGTAAAGTAATGCCTATTGTTCCAATTTCCCTGTGTTCATCCCAGTTTTCATTCCATGAAACCGCTTCGGTTGTTTTTTTTTTCTGGCGTTTCTAGGTTTGCTGCCATTATATCCATTCACTTTTAATAAAATATGCATGAAGTGATTTTGGCTTATAAACCTTCCCCTCTATTTCAGGTAGGGTCACATGGGTTGACAGGGAGCAAATGCTATTTATACCTGATTTCATCTCGCGAGTGCTTTTCAGGGACTAGGCATGGCGGTGGAGCTGAACCAGTGGTCCTTCCTGATAGTCCGTATGACGAACCAACAACCTTGGCTGCATCTATAAGCCATCGTCTAAGTAGCAGTGTTGGAGAGGTTGGTTATCACTTTTTTGAGTGGTTTTTTTTTGCAAACTGTAAAATTCTAATAGAGTAAATGATACGCGGAAACATGTTCCGAAAGAAGAATCTCAAAGTTTTCGAATACCGGAAAATCTTGAAAATATAACAACAACAAAATGGCTTCTACGCCCATTGGCGGCTACGAATGGTTGTAGTCGTGGTTACCATTTTTTCATGGGTCCATAGGCACCTAAAAGGGTAGTTACGAAGTGATAGAGTGATCTCATACCATAGTCTTTCATAGGTAGAAGCTTCATGAGATATCGGAATGAGCAACTCATTGTTCTTGCAGGTACTCCATCAGACAGGTGCTGCAGATCTAGAATCATGCGAGTCTGACTTCTTGCGACCTTTGACATCGTGTGGAGGCGATTCGTCGCGTTCCTTCACATATTTGGAATGGGTTCACGAAAATCAGGCACGACGAATGCGGAGTCGTAGCGAATGGTTAGTTATTGGTTCACTGATTATTTTCATGCCCATGGTGTTGAAATAGCAATATTTAAGGTTTTTATCACCAACTATACCGTCAAAGTCGAGCTCACATCCTGGAGACTGCGATTTATTCACCCTGAAAGCGTTACCTGGTTCCTTTTCGTTTACAGCAGAGGATGACAAGAAGCTTGGTGATACATCAGACACCATCCCGCTCCTTTCGAAAAAGTCATACAAAATCCTATCTCATGT